AGTAATCTAGCATAAAAAGCATACAAGTTCTCTGCTTGTTTCTGTCAGTTTTATTAATGGTTTGTGACTTTGCCAAGAAATAATCTTGCAATAAACATTTCTTAAGTAGTATTTTTGTCTTCTTTTCCAGTAAAACATCTAAATAAAAATGCACTCATATTTAGTGCTGGGCGGTATGACCAAAAATTTATATCACGGTATTTTTCAAAATTATACCGGTTTCACGGTACATGACGGTAATTTTTTTTCATGCATGACCGGGTGTTAACCATATTTTCTACTGATTGAGAGAGGAAATACTGCAGTATATTGACTTAGAATGCCCTATTTTACTGTCACGATGAGTGAATATTGTCATAAATACCACACTAAATAGTGACTAAACACGACCCCTTTTAATACATGTTAACCAGGAGTCACTCTCATTTATAATCGCGGCATCGTCTGATAAAATCAGGTCAGTGTGGATATTGTGGATGAGTTCTTCTGTGTCATCACGTTCTTTTAGTTCTACAGCTTCAGTTTCGGAACTTTCATGCTTAGTAACACATACAGCTGTTCCCTCACCACAGTGCAACCCCCCGTTCAAACAGTGTCGCGTTCCGAACGTTGTTTAAGCGACATACACCGGTATTGCGGTATTTTAAAAATTCATATCATAACAAAAATAAACACCGGTATTCGGTATGAACCGGTATACCGCCCAGCACTACTCATATTCATGCCATATTCTCAGAAAATAAGCCTTATACACTACAAATGTTTAGCAGGTTAATTGATCTTTTTACTCCAATACAAAACAGAAATATTTATTTTTAATATATAGTGTATTTTTTAAACCAAAGGATATGTTTATTTAAATTATGTGTGACCGATTGACTCTGTAAAAAGACACTTGTATTTGTGCTTGTGTCTGATGACAGTGAGAATGTCAGACTTTGTAACAGTTGTTTATTCCACTTTGGTGAAAATGGAGGTAATTTGTATGTGCAATAAATCCTCATTCATTTCATCATCTCTTACTGTTGCAGTTCCAGCCATAACCACCTTCCTTTGGTTAGGGCCACTTGCAACACAGCTCTCCAAACACCATTTTGAAATAAACCACAGCACAGATTTCCAAAAACTGGTCAAGACACTGAAAAAAACCCCCAAAGACAGACTGGATTGGCCATATGTGACGCAAAAGTCCAAAATCCACCCAGTCCATGTTAACTTACAGTAAACATTGACCCTCTGGGTTTTGGCACAGAGTGGATTTTCAAAAGGAAAGTTGGAGATTTTACAGATTTTGGAGATTTAAAAAATCTTAATCTGACAGAAAATCCCGTTTTCCAGTAAAAGTATAATTTTTTCATAATATTGAAATAATTTTAATAAAAACAATTAAATGTAAAAATATTTCATAATCTATTTTTAATTTATAATTTTTTAGTAATATCTTGATGATTTTTAAAACTTGAGAAGTAAAAAAGCAATAAACAAAATGTGTTTTGCCATCCCACTGCCGGCGGTACTCACAACCGTATGTGACTGTTATGCCAACAGGCTCAGCCCTAGCCCTGTGGCTCACCAGTTTCCAACTTTCACTATCTGTCCTCTACTTTCTGACTTAAACTATCTTGTTGAACTCAACCAGGCGGTAAAGACGGCGGTAAAAAAAAAAAAAAAAGCAAAAAAAAAAAAAAAAAAGAAGCGTAACCCTCATTATTTCTGCATAAAATAAGAGAAAAAATGTAAATGGTAAAGTTAATATTAAAAAATAATATTAAGAAAATAATTAATTAATCAACTTATGTTAACTGATGTTTAAATATTTTTACTGTAAAAAAATAAAAAAATTTGTGTGTGAACCAACTGGCATTCCTGGTATCAGAGACACTGATTACTCACAAGTCAAACTGTCTTGATGCTAACCTTATGGTCTAATGCTGTTAAAGGTTATTTTATTATCAGCTTAGAGTCAGCCAGAGGTTAGGCAGAGAATCTGAGCGAGTGTTGTTGGAGTTTCCTCACTGTAGGGCCACAGGTCTCTGCCACAGGGCACATGTATTGATATCGCACCACAGATAGGAAGGAATGCGTGGCAGCTCGTGATCTTTCGTGGACTGAGGGATGATCTCAGAGTTCACCCAACCAGATCGCTCCTGTCGGTATGCAGGATGTCAGTAAGTGCAACCAGACGCTGACTGCTGGGTGAGGCGAGTAACGGCTCAGCTGGATTAGTAATATGTTGATGGGGTCGGTAAGATTGAAAAGAAGTCTCTTGTGCTCACCAAGGCTGCAAAATCGATTTGTTTTAGCTCTATAAATATCTTCACTGTCGCTTTTGAACAGTTTAATGAGTCCTTACTGTATTAATGTCGTCTTACACACAAAAATTGTACTACATCTTGCATGTTTTAGTAAAGTTTTCCTAAGGATGAAACATATTACATACAAAACCCGTTTGAAGTTTGCAGTTTCAGTTGGGACTCGACCGGCTCCAATTCCAGGGAGGGGCAGCTGGGAATTCCACTGTGGCAATGGACTGGTGGAGGGGTGTTATATTCAGCTGTACTCCAGCTGTGTGGATTTATATTGGTGTCCGACAGGCGGTGAAGGGGCATCGGTGCCAGACTCGCCCACTCAAGGGAAGACTTGGCTAGGACCGTCTACATCTCCACCTACATAGCTTTCTCTCATCCACTTTATTTTTTCTCTTAAGTTCCTCGTTCTTTATTTTTTCCTAGAATAATCCTCAATCTTCTTCTGTCACGTTTTCCCACAGTGTGTTTCTCAGTGACCTCAGGGCAGCCATCTGTGATCAGAATCATCCTCCTTGGCCCACAGGGCAAACGGTTCCTCACTTTATCGGCGCTGACATGCCTCACAGGTGTTTGCACACACCTGCACGTCTGTACACCTGTCCAAGGCAGAGAATCTTGCTGGTTTTGCAGATTCAACGTAGCGACTGTTCATTGTTCAGGCCATGTGTTGTTTGTTTGTGGTTCCACACTCAAATGCAAAGCTGTAAAGACAGCTGATGGACCTTCTGCTGCTGGGCTTGAGTGACAGATGTTTCTACACAAAGAAGTCTGTCGTACACTAATTGTTCTTACAGTAGTTGTTCATATTGCATTTTTGGAAAGTATGAACATAAAAGGCTAGTCTTGGATTATTGGGTTTATGGCAATAATGGCAATGGCAATAGATTCAGTGTGGTTTAGATTTATTAATTTATTCAAAAACACAATAAAATAATAGTGTAACTTTTCAAACCTTTCTTTGAACATGCTTTTTATGTTCTGAATTAAAATTAGTGCTGTCAAACGTTTAAAGGGTTAGTTCACCCAAAAATGAAAATTAGCCTGTGTTTTACTCGCCCTCAAAGCATCCTAGGTGTATGTGACTTTCTTCTTTCTCAGACGAATCCAATCGGAGTTATTAAAAATTGTCCTGGCCCCTCCAAGCCTTTCAATGGGGGTAAGCGGGTGTTTGGTTGTCAGCAGTTCAGAAGACGTGAAATAAAGGGCATCCGTAATAAAACGTACCTCACACGGCTCCGGGGGGTGAATAAAGGCCTCCTGTAGCGAATCCATGCATTTTTGTAAGATAAATATCCATATTTCAAACGTAATAAACACTTTTTTCTCACTTCCGCTGACTGTGGTACGCTGAAGTCGTGCAGCCCCATTGAAAGGCTTGGAGGGGCCAGGACAATTTTTAATATAACTCCGATTGGATTCGTCTGAAAGAAGAAAGTCACATACACCTAGGATGCTTCGAGGGTGAGTAAAACACAGGCTAATTTTCATTTTTGGGTGAACTAACCTTTTAATTAAGATTAATCGCTTCCAAAATAAAGGTTTTTGTTTACGTAATATATGTGTGTGTACTATGTATTTATTATGTATATATAAATACACACACATGCACGTATATATTTAAGAGAAATGTGTTATGTTTATATACTAAATATATTTATATATAATATAAATTATATGAACATAAATATATCCATGTAAATACAGGTAAATATTTTCAAAATATATACTGTATATGTGTGTATTTTATATATACATAATAAATATACACAGTACACACACATATATTATGTAAACAAAAACTTTTATTTTGGATGCAATTAATCGTTTGACAGCACTAATTAAAATTAATTTTATTTTTTGGGGCACAAAGTCAAAAAAGTCAGGGTGATGCAACTGTCCTTATATCATAATGAGAAAAAAAACTAATTGAAAAATGAAATTCTTAAAAAGAATAATAACAATTTTATCTATGTTAAAAGTGTGTGTATGTGTGTGTGTGTAACTTTTCCTTTAAATATATATTTTAATATAGAATTATAAATCTTATTTTTTTATATTTAAGACCTTTAAGTATATTATAAATTTTTTTTGTATTATTTATTTATTATGTTTTACGAAACAATACAAAAATTGCATATCTTAAATATTGGCAGGTGTTTTTTTTTTTTATAAAGATCATTTATTTTCTTTATTGTAAACACATATATTGTGACTTATTTGTCATTGACTCAGTGAAGTGACTTAACTTGCAGTCTCCTGTTCTCTTATTTGTCATGTTTGGATTTTATAAAAGGCTTTTTATTTTTGTTTGTGGTCACTGGAACCCAGGATTTCTTTCTATTGTCCTAAATATAGATGTGGCCTAACACATGTGGATGCAAGCTGTGTTAATTTGCACAGCCTCTGTAATCCTATGTAGGGAGTGATGCATTGTGGTCCGTAGTCGCTCCTGTGATGTGGTTAGTTGGAATGAGCCAATCTGATGATTACATGCACGTTATGTGACTATTGTGGTGTTGACTAGGCCTAGGGGAGTCTTTCTGGGTTGACTTCTCGATTTAGAGTTTTAGATGAAGCAGAACTGTTAGATCATCGGGTTGTTGCCTGGACTTTATCAAGGCTGATGAAAGTCTTTGTCCTGAGAAAAGACCTCAAGTCTTTACGAAAGTTTGTTTTTTTGTTTTCTTACAGGGCTGAGTGACCCAAGCGTAGCTCTCACCTGGGGGAGGACCAGCACTCCCTCATTCCCATCATCCCTTTAGCCCCCACTCTGAAGCAGCCATGGCGCCACGGAAACGCGGGGGCGGAGGGCACGGCGTGTCCTTCTTCTTCTGCTGCTTCCAGAGCAGTGACCACCCAGAGATCACCTACCGTCTGCGGGAGGACTTCGCCCTGCAGGCCATGGAGCCGGCGCTGCCCATCCCCAGCTATGACGAGCTGGACGCCATGTTCTCAGAGCTGGTGGTAGGTGCCAACTTCTAACATTTCTGTATAGTTTTATCTCTGCTGACTTCTGTCAGATAAGACCAATGAATCTGACTTTGTTTCAGGGACAGATCTATATCGACCAGGACGATTACTCTTCCAGTATTTATCAATTATATTACATTACATTACATTACCATCGAAAAGTTTGAGGTTGGTAAAAAATTTTAAAAGCAGTGTCTTATGTTCACCAAGGCTACATTTATTTGTACAGTTTAATATACAGTTAAACAGTAATATTAGGAAATATTATTACAATTTAAGGTAACTGTTTTCTATTTGAATATATTTTAAAATATGATTAATTCCTGTGATGGCAAAGCAAAATTTTCCGTGTTACTCCAGTTTTTAGTGTCACATGATCCTTCAGAAATCATTCTAATTTCTAATTGAGAAATTGAGCTTGCTGCTCAAGAAAGATTTCTCTTTTTTCCCCAGATTCTTTGATATAGAAACCTTTGGTAACATTATATATGTTTTTACTGTCACTTTTAGACAAATTGTATGCATCCTTGCTGAATAAAAGTATTAATTTGTTAAAAAATTCTTACTGAGCCCCAACTTTTGAACAGTAGTGTGCATTTTATTTTATTTTATTTTATTTTATTTTATTTAAATATTTATTTAGTTATATATAAATATATAACATTTATATTAATACTACTACTACTAATAATAATAAAGTAAGCATTTTTACCATCACACTAGTATTTTTATGTGTTGCATGTGGAGCTAATTAACGAAGAACCAAAGCATTATTTTTCACATACTCAGTTCCTCCGTGTTTGCGTTCTAATTTAGCATAATTAAAGAGCTGTAATTGATCCATCAAACATGTTGTCTTTAATCCTTGCTTGAATAGAAATCGCAGCAGTGTGGCGTGCTGCAGACTTTGCCTCTCTCTCTCGTCTCCTCCTTCATCTCTGCCAGCTTCCACTTTGCACATCAGTGGGTTCCATTGAGTGGCCTTGTGTCTTGGACTGCACTGCAGAGTAATTGCTTGTTTTTGGTCTGACCCACACTTAACCTCCCTTTCCCTGTACTTGGGTTCGAATTGATGTACAACACAAAGCAGCAGCAGTTGCTCTCTTTTCACAGCCCTCATAGAAAGATTTCATGCTCTCAGCACGCGCCGTTCTGGCAAGTTATTGTTGAGTTGCGTAACTGGCAACCTGCTTGCTTATTCACATGTTGTTTTTCATGAAAAGTAATATTATGTTTAGTAGAAGATACCTGGGTAATTATTTGAAATACTGTAGCTGACATTTATTTAGTTTATTTAGAGGTTATTATGCATTTTTTCCTTCATGTCAGGGCTTGGCAAAGTCTTCTTAAATATTCATCATATTCAGCACACTGAGTACATTAGAATTGCAAAAATATTCTTGGAACAAAGGGGCTTTTCAGGATAAAATGAAAATAATGAGGTACATAAAGGGAGTTTACATGTGATTTAGCCATGATATGTCTTTTTTTATAGAATTAGATTAGGTATTTTGTGTTATGATTGGCCCCAGATATTACATTTGAGACTCAACCAAAATTATTGCGTTATAATCCTTTTATGGCATAGAATCCAAGTGATAGTTCACCCAAAAATTTAAATTCTGTCATTGTTTAAATTACGTGAATTCGAAAAAATATATATTTTAAAGAATGTAAGCTACTGGTTGCTCTTATCCATACACTTACAATAAATGTGGGCATAGAAGGACCATAAAAATATTGCAAAAGTGGTCCACATGATTGATGGGTCTTCAACGAGTTGAATTCCATAAGCTTATCAGTCCAAATGATTCATTCGCATATTGGACATTGCTGTTTCTCTCATGACCACACCAAAGAGAGCTAGAGTGGATGTCATTATTTTCATTGAATAATGACTAAAGTTTCTGAACATTTCTCACACAAAGTTATCATATAACTTCAGAAGACTTGCAAATGACAAATAGAAATGTTGCACATTACATTTGTGGTGTTATGTATCCTTTTTGAAGCTCCTTAGCTATGTTTCCATCAAAAGTTGTGAAGTAAAAAATTGGAATATCATATGAAACATTTGCAGATAAAGCACTGTTTCCATCTTATGTGTTCAGTAAAACAAAATAGTTGCTTCCTGGGAAACTGACGCAAACTAGAAGTAATAAATATGGAAGGCAATGTAGCTTTTCCCGCCTCAGAGTGCACAGACAAAACAATAACAAAAGCTGTCATATTATTTTGCGTTTGGAGGCATATGCCAAATGTGTGGGAAAGTAATTGTGAGAGACAATTCTGGGAGGTAATTATACAAAATAATTTTGATGACAAACTTGAATGACTAAAATAAGATTTGAAATGGTGTGCATTGAGAGATTGGTCAGCTGGTTAGTCCAGTTATCCAGTCATAGATCTGTTGAGGCAAAGTCTCATGAGAATTTTATTTATTTTTTTGCGCATCCTGGAATTAAATCTGTAAGTGTTTACCTCATGTTTATGTGCATATCTTCTTATCGGATTAAAAAAAAAGTCCATCTCAGTTAAGCACAGAAATTGTTTATGCACATTTTAAGATTTTATGCACATCTTGGCTTTTCCATTCAGCTTTTTTAAGTGATATCCCAAAATGCGCATCAAAATATGTGAATGGAAACAGCTATTGTAATTGCATGGAAAAGAGTGACAAATTTCTCCTTTTTGGATTCTGCGGGACCAAGAGGTTTGGACAGACATGAGGGTGAATAAATAATGACAGAACTTTGATTTTCAGTTGAGCTATCTTTTTAACATCTGTATAAAGCATGTAGGCATAGTTAATACTTTATACGGCTTCAATAAACCATTATAGTGTAATTAATGACTTCTTTTAAACTCTTAAACTATTTTCATTGATGTAATTCGAGAGTTATCCAACTGTATTCTCTAATAGAGTGCAAATTTATTTTAATCAAGACTTGATTTGACAGCCCAATCACTTACTGGACAGTCTACAATAGAGAGTTTATGTTCTACAGTGGACGTTTTCCTCATTATGAGTGCTGAAAGGTTTGCTCTAGTGATGTAGAGCATTGATAGATTGATGCACACGGCCCAGGCTTTAATGTTTGTTCTGCAGCTGAATGCTGGGGCTTGATGTGGCATGTTGGGTTCAGATAAGGCAAGATGTGGTTTTCTGCATGAATGGAACATCCTGGTTGTAGTCTGGCTGCTCTTGACTGTAACAAAACACTGTACGCGTATGGTCTTTATGCGTATATGCCGGGGATGTCTAGACTTTCTGCTGACTGTGCAGCTCGTTTCCGCTAAAGGCCAGGGGATTCGCAGGAAGATGAGAGATGGAAGAGACACCAGACCGGATAAGAGGAACAGCAGCTCTTCCTCTCTCTTGCATCCCTGTGGAGCATCAGGGACATCACTGTCACCAAGAACTGCCAGACAGGAAGCCATTACCAGATTTGTCAGACAGATGTAGCGCTATACATGCAGGGATTTACAGTGAGAGATGTACGCTGAGAGGCCTCTTTATTAGGTTCTGCTGCTGAAATGGGCAGGTCGATCCTTGAATGTGATCCAATTCAGTTCGTAGAGTTCACATTCAGTCAACTTTGACTGCTGAAACTGTCCTTTTCCACTATCAGGTTCTGCAGGTGTTTCATAGGATTGATATGATCAAAATCGCATGTGCTTAAATGAAACCGACACACTGAGATCTGCATTAGTGGACTGCTAGCTTTATTGAACAATGTACAGTATATTATGTTCAAAAGTTTGGGGCCATTATGATTTTCTTTTTTTGAAAGAAATTAATACTGTGCAATAAGGATCCAATAAATGATGAAATATGACAGTAAAAACTTTTATAATGTTGCAAAAAAACTTCTGTTTCGAATAAATTATATTTGAACTTTATATCCATCAATGTATTAAGGTTTCCACAGAAATATTAAGCAGCACATTTTCAACATTGATAATAATAAGAAATGCTTAATATTAAAATGATTTCTGAAGAATCATGTGACACTGAAGACTGGAGTAATGGCAGAAAATTCAGCTTTGCCATCACAGAAATAAATTATATTTTAAAGGGGTCATATGATGCGATTTCAAGTTTTCCTTTCTCTTTGGAGTGTTACAAGCCGATTGTGCATAGATAAGATCCCTGAAGTTGCAAAGACTAAAGTCTCAAAACCACTAAGCGTTTGAGAGAGGCGGGGCATATAGGACCTACAATAATGTACAGTATTTGAAAAATAATGTGTTTTTTGAACATTAAAGCATGTCAACATATTCTGTTACACCAAATACACAAAATAATGATCTTTAAAAACGCATCATATGACCCCTTTAAAATATATTCAAATAAAAAAAACAGTTATTTTAAATTTTAATAATATTCTGTAATATTACCATTTTTACTGTATTTTGATCAAATAATTGCAGCCTTAGTGAGCATAAATGACTTTCCAAAAATGCAAACCTTTGAATCATTCTACATATTTTTTTTTGCATAAGACAATTATTTTGCATAATTTTAGATATTTTAACAAATTATTTTTTAAAAATCTCAGGATTTTATATGAATCAACAGAGTGGAGTACACTATGGATACAGGAGGCTATGAGAAAAATCTTGCAGGGTCTCTAGAGGACAACAGAATGCTTTGTAAGAGGACATTAAAGAGAACATTTCTGATTGTTCACAGATCTAGTTGCATCTAAGTGAACGAGATTTCTGATATACATTGTAATATGAATATTTTTGTTTGTGTGTGTGTGTATACAAGTGGGAATTCACAGTGTTTTCATCATCAGTTCGCATGGGACTCCCATGTCGAGAGCAGCTAACAAACAAACCAGGGCTTTCTTTGTGGAAACCCACACCCACTGTGAGGACGAACCACAACACAGTGATTGTTGTGGGGAACTGCTATTTCAAGGACAAAACAAAAGGAAATTACAAGTGGCTGAGGTTTATGAGTAGGACTTTCATTGCCAAAGCCATTGATTGTGCCGTCGTCAGTCGTTCAGTGTTTACAGATGGTTTTGGGCAGAGTTCACAATGTGCTGTAATAAATTTTAGGCACTCCACAAAATGCTGAATTAGACAGAAAAAGGAAATTTACGGATTTTAACATAATCACAGATTTTTATTATAAATATTTAACTCATACTAAAAAAAGAAATGCATAAAAAACTACACTTACAATAGCTGTATTTTTATTTTTTTTCATTTAATTCCATCATATTTTTACCTAAATTCACATCTGAATTGCAGTCTTAATTAGGGATGCACCGAATGTTCGGCAACCGAAATGATTATTTCCGAATAAGCGAAAAGACCGAATAAATTGTACCGAACAATGACTAAATTGATCAAATAGCAACTAGCGCAGAGTGAGAGGTGCGCACTCTTTATTATGCAGCACACACGTCAGCAGTGTGGAAGCATTTAAACTGTCGGAGAAAGACGCAAAAATCATTACAAGCACCGACAGCGAGAGACTGTTTAGGACTGCATCGCATGTCTTCAATGAGTAGAGGAAGGGGTGATTGTTGCTGGTTACTGTATGATGATTGAAATCGCGAAATGGCCTTAAACAATTAATGTTTTAAAAGAAGTCTCTTCTCAGCAAGGCTGCTTTTAATTGTACAGTAAAAAAAAATGCATGCCTGATTCAAGAAGGGGGTCTGATGGCCAAAAATTATTATTTTACTAACTTACTAATTTTAAGTTAAATTGTGCTTTGTTGGTATAGTGTCTGCTAGAATGTTAAAAATGTTCAGTGTTAAATATTTTAAAATTGTTTTGTAATTGATTTTTTTTTTGTTGAAAAGCAAGACAAAACAGTAAAAAGCACAATTTGGCTTTTTAATTTATGCAATGGTGGAAAAAAATGGGCAAAATACATGGGGAAAAAAACTCAAAAAACCATATTCGGCCTTCGGCCCAGTGTTTAATTTTGTTCGGCTTCGGCCAAGATTTTTCATTTCGGTGCATCCCTAGTCTTAATTCTTTTTGCCTCTTCAATTCATATTCATTTTAAATTCAGGATTGACGCACAACCCTAGCTTTTGATTTTTAAACAAGCATTGGCATTTTCATTTGATAGGAAAAGCTGTCATTAACTGAGATATATCCACTGTAATCCATATGATTCATTTCCTTTGCGTTTTCCAATCTCAAGTCAAGTGAAGTTCAAGTAAACTTTGGTTTATTATCATTCCAGCCATATATAAGTCTACAGTGAAAAGAAATGTCATTTCACCAGGTCTGCAGTGCAAATCACCACTTTGTCTGTCTGCTATCATGGACGTTTTGTTCTCTCTCTCTGTCAATTTCCTCTGTGTCCTCTCTGCTGGAGGATTTGAGGAAGTATTTGTGGGTAAGGAGAAAGTTGAAAAAACATTCTGTGGTTTCCACATGCTGTTATCATTGGTTTGTGGGTGGATATTGACCCTGCCTCAAGGGGTTTACAGTTTGTTTTTGCCATGTCCAGGTTAAAAAATATCTAATCTTTCTTTTCTCTTTCTGTCTTTCTTTTTCTTTCATTTCAGGATGAGCTGGACCTCACAGAGAAGCACAGAGAGGCCATGTTTGCCTTACCAGCAGAAAAGAAATGGCAGATATACTGCAGCAAGAAGAAGGTTAGAACTCTCCAACATTAGGTCATTGTGTGTGTGTGTGGGTGGGTAGGTGGGTGAGTGTTTTGCCTTCTTATCTTCGGTTGAAAGTTTAGTGCACAAGATTACACTGTCATCCTGTCAGAACGGTGTTTAAACATCTCATATATCAAAGTGCTTAACATAATCACCTCTCTGTCTGAAAGAATCTGATTCTGGGTTAATGCCCCTTATCGCCACTTTCTCTGCTTTAAAATGGCTAATCTATTAAATGTTTCCATTAATCTTTTCATTAGCAAATTAAGTGTCAGCAATGATTTTAGATAACTGACATTTTAGACTTCTTAGCAGATGCTTTCAAACCAAAGCGACCTAAAACAGTGCATGCTGCTCTTTAGGATAGCCAGTTTGTTGCTGCAGAGAGAGTTTGGTAGTGTCTCAGTCAGCCTGTTTCCTTAGGCGTTACATTCGTCAGAATCTGAGAACTAAACAAATGACGATTCACAATTCTTTCTATAAAGAGATGCTACTTTCTGCTTGAGAAATGCTCTACTTTACTTGTATCTATACAAACTAAGCTTAACAAAAGCATGTTTTGTTTAGTTTTTTGCTTAGTTTAGTTTAGTTTAGTTTAGTTTAGTTTTGTTTTGTTGACCAGTAGAGCTACCACAATATAATTTTATTTTATTTTATTTAAGATAAAACTTTTTTGGGGTTTATTTTCGTTTCTTTCTATCTCAGATGTTATTTCCAAAGCCTTCTTTAAGCTGTTTTTTTATTATATGATAAATATTCTTAACAAAACAAAGTTATAACAAATCAGTTGTTTTTCTCATTTGCAGTAATAGCTGGACTTTTCATTCTGCAGTATCAAAACATAACTATGATCAACAAATACAAGATGTAGTGACAAATATTAGATCATTGGGGGCTCAGAAAACTTCCAGATGGGTCTCAAAATGACTTTTAAATAAGACAAAACATGTAAAGCAACTATAAAACAAGACATTTCTTATTTTAATTCCCACTCTGTTGAAAAACCTGGATATATGAGGTAATTTCGTTTTAAAAGTGTGATTTCTAGACCTGGAAAAGTCATGTAAATTAATAAAATCTTATTTCTTAATTCGAAATAATTATTTATTTTGTGAAATCGTAATTCATAAACAACTAGAAACATCACGAGGCCTTCGAATATTGTTGCGGTCTATGGAGTCAAAAGGGTTGAGAATCACTGCATTACTAGCCCTGGGTTATCGAGCCACAGTCGAGTTGTGCTAGATGAACAGTTCTTTAACCTAAATGGGTTATGACGTGGATTTTTAAAAATTATTTTAATATGTTCCTTGAGGTTTACTTCTAATCTTAAAAAGTTTTTCCACAAAATTTGTGGAAAAATTATTACTTTCAACCCTCATTCTGACCCTCTCTCTAAAACGACCTGTTTTTAAGGGGCGTGTCCTTTAAGGCTTGCCAGTAATCGGCCACTGTTATGATTGGCTAACGTCATTGCATAGGACACAGTATCAACGCCCCCTCACTATTGCATGTGAGTGTTTTGACAACATGATCAAAATAAAATGGTCATTTCCAGACAAAGCATTATGAAATCATTTTCTTACAGTGTGATGCAGCTGCAGTCAGATCTAGTACTGCTCCATTTTTCAACAAATGTTTCTTTGTGAACTCTCCCTGACACTGTGCCTCGTTTACAAAACAATATGCACCGATCAATCCTCTGACACGACCCGGGATGTCATTAAAAATAAACTATCAATTTGTTCCTTTAAGCTGGGATTCTTCTGATATCTGTACAAAGACGAGAATGAGCTGTTTAAACCAAATGCGTGAAAGTGAACGTTTTTTCACTCCATTTGTCCAATTGACGACAGACTCAGCTGCGTGGACTGTGCCAGAAAGTACACTGTATCCAGTGTAGACAAGATAGCGGCAGTGATCGTAATTTTTATTTGCTTTTGACGCGATGCGACACTCGATTTAGCGTAATCAAGAGTCAGCTGTTAAGTGACTGAATGCCAGTGGGCGGGGTCTATGGTGAGAAGAAGGCTATTCATCGATGTCTTGCTCTTGAGGCTGGGTTTATGCAAATGTTTGTGCCCGGGTGATGTCATCTTGCACCTCATATCCAAACGAGACGTGTTTGGAGCTTGATTAAATAAATGCTTTGTTTATAATGAGGAGGACGTTTTAAGCTATGAAACTTGCAGGATGTTTTAATGGTACAAAGACCTCTTATATGCTAAAAGATCAAGGCAAATTTGATTTCTCATGTCATGACCCCTTTAAGGAAAGAATTTACTCTGTCCATGTTGTATTTTGCCATACACGAGGCCATCGCATGGGTCTGGTGTTACCACTGTGTGATTCTGTCAGTTTCCTTTAGCGTAATGTTTTTTTAACAAGCACGTCCTGTTTTATGAAATCACACTTACTCATTTTTACTGGACACCACTGCATGTTTAGGTATGCAGGAAACAGTGGGGCCAAGTCATACCATTTATCCTCCATGACCTATTGGAGCTCAGAGAGCAGAGAAATGCCAGTGTGTATCTGAGTTCATTAATGACAACAAACCCTCCATGATGCCACAAACATAAGCCCTGCCAGACTGTTCTTCTAATGTGAATCCATGTGTTTAACTCAAGACAGCACGAGCAATGAAACATGACGCGCACACACAGACACAGACAGTGGGTGGTCGATGGTTACCTGCTAGTAATGTGACAGCAATACAGTCAGGGTGATAGAAAGCACACTGAAGTGACAAAATCCTGCAGGTACTTCGATTGTTCTTAGTTAAATGTTGACACTGAAGTGTAAAGACCCAGTGACTCAGTAAGCACACAGTAGCTGCGTCTGAAAGTGCTGTACTGCATTTACTAAAATGGTAATAACATTTGTTCTGTAAGTGTGCTTGTTCATAGTATGAATACGGTCTGGACACACTGTATTCGCCATGGTGGCATTGTCATGTGACCTACAACGTCAGCTGATGTTCCCTGAAATGTGCAAATACGACACCTTCTCTGGGATAGTAAAAGTTCGGTTAGATGTGCACTTCAGTATCTCAGTGGAAGCAGCACATCAACTAGGTAATTTTAAATTTATGAATTTTATATTTGGACATGCTAATGATTTGATGTATGGCTGTTTGCGCACTATAGTAGAAGAGTTTTAGAGTAGTAGGAGATATTTTGGACATAGGGAGTATGTTGTATGAAAAAGTGTATTTGTCTAACCATTTCATGGTGCTTTCAGTAGATATTTATAAGCCTTATTTGATATTCTGAATGTTACCAAAAAGCCAAACATTATTTTGTTATAACTGTTAACATGAATGGCTGATATTATAAATCTGTACTTTGTTTAAAAAAAATAGAAAATTAAAACAGACTAAAGTTATTATTAAACTATTGTAGGGCTGCCACTAACGACTATTTTTATTTCGACTAATTTATCGATTAATCGATTAATCTAAATGATTAATTTCCCACAAAAAAATCTACAATTTTACTTAAGAATATTTTATTAAACTTTCATTACACCAAATACACAAAATAATGTTCTTTTTAGCAGCATCATATGACCCCTTTAAACTATATTTTATTAAACCAAATTAAATCCAAATTTCTATGAAATCCTTTTTTTAAAGCAAAAGTAAAGTGCAACATAGAGTGCAAGAAGCAAGTGTCCATCTCATAGTCCAAATCACTGAAATCAAAGTTCAGTATTATAGTGTAAGAATGACAACATATCCACGTGTTCTAGTCTACTAATAATAAAATTATAATCAAAAAACACTTTTTAAAGGAGTATTTACCAGAAAGGTTATTTACCAGAATTTATTTATGTTAAATAAATGTTTATTCATGTTTATTCAACGAAGTCAAAGCCTTTTGGAAAATCTGTTTGTGGCGGTGAGTTTTGATATTGTGGCGGCGCCACAAATAAATCAATGTATGGGATGAAATGAAACTTACCTGCTTGAACTCTTTCATTTGATCCGGGTGTCTGTCTTTAAAGTGTTTTGTTAGTTTGATGTGTTTCCTCATTTTGAGGTCGCCATGTCTCAATGCTTTTATGCAGTGTTCGAACTATACCGTGGACTTTGGGGGAGCCCCTTTTTTTTAATTTTTTATAATATAACCGGGGGGGGTGTTCGCGCGCTTGCGCGTGCCTCAAAAGAGGGCTTACAATGACTTACAAAGATATACCGACTTGGTACCGAAGTACCGGGTCTTTTGACAACACTAGCAGGAAGGTAGATCTCCAGGAACAGGGTTGGGCACCACTCCACTGCTCTAGGTCAAAGATGAAAAAATGGGATTTACAATAAAATGTGATACAAAATAATTTTGACTTTATTTATTAATGAGTAACGTATGTGCAAATTTTTAATGTTAACAGGTTTTACCATGTTATTACAACATTTAAACACTTTTATATTAATTTAAAAATTGAGAAATTCTTTCATATTTAAATCTTGTACAAGAATTACTGCTAAAAACCAGTCTGATGCATGTTTTATCAATATTTTAGAAATTGTATTTAAATATTACCACTATTGGCTTCAATGGATTTCATTAAATTCCTTTGAACATGACTGCTCAAAACAGTCTAAATTTATGAAACCTACACATTCAAAACATTACTACTCTGAAAGTTTTAATGTAAATGTTAAGTGTAAGTGAAATGTTAAGTACTGTAAGGTCTTTCATGACACTACATATGCTGGGGTGTGAATTTGATAGGTGCTTGATATAAAATAAATGGTGCTTTAAAAAGTCTTTGAAAGTCCTTGAATCTGGTGTTCATGAAAGAGTGGGAACCCTGGGAATTCACAAACTTTTTTGTCAGCTGAACCCGTATGACCTAAAATATTTCATTGATTTCAACTGAGATGTTAAAGGGATAGTTCACCCAAAAATGATAATTCTGTCATGACACGTTCAAGGCCCAGAAAGGTAGTAAGGACATCGTTAAAATAGTCCATGTGACATCAG